GTAGAGGGGGGAGTCTATGTAACCTTAAACTGTGTGGGTAATGGGTAACCAAAACATAAAACTGTAGAGGGGGGAGTCTATGTAACCTTAAACTGTGTGGGTAATCAAAACATAAAACTGTAGAGGGGGGAGTCTATGTAACCTTAAACTGTGTGGGTAATGGGTAAAAACAAAACAAAACTGTAGAAGGAGTCTATGTAACCTTAAACTGTGTGGGTAATGGGTAACTGTAGAGGTAGAGGGGAGTCTATGTAACCTTAAACTGTGTGGGTAATGGGTAACAAAACATAAAACTGTAGAGGAGTCTATGTAACCTTAAACTGTGTGGGTAATGGGTAACCAAAACATAAAACTGTAGAGGGGGAGTCTATGTAACCTTAAACTGTGTGGGTAATGGGTAACAAAACATAAAACTGTAGAGGGGGAGTCTATGTAACCTTAAACTGTGTGGGTAATGGGTAAACCTTAAACAAAACATAAAAAGGGTAATGGGTAGTCTATGTAACCTTAAACTGTGTGGGTAATGGGTAACAAAACATAAAACTGTAGAGGGGGGAGTCTATGTAACCTTAAACTGTGTGGGTAATGGGTAACCAAAACATAAAACTGTAGAGGGGGAGTCTATGTAACCTTAAACTGTGTGGGTAATGGGTAACAAAACATAAAACTGTAGAGGGGGGAGTCTATGTAACCTTAAACTGTGTGGGTAATGGGTAACCAAAACATAAAACTGTAGAGAGGGAGTCTATGTAACCTTAAACTGTGTGGGTAATGGGTAACCAAAACATAAAACTGTAGAGGAGGGAGTCTATGTAACCTTAAACTGTGTGGGTAATGGGTAACCAAAACATAAAACTGTAGAGGGGGGAGTCTATGTAACCTTAAACTGTGTGGGTAATGGGTAGCAAAACATAAATGTAACCTTAAACTGTAGAGGGTAGTCTATGTAACCTTAAACTGTGTGGGTAATGGGTAACAAAACATAAACTGTAGAGGAGGAGTCTATGTAACCTTAAACTGTGTGGGTAATGGGTAACAAAAACATAAAACTGTAGAGGGGGAGTCTATGTAACCTTAAACTGTGTGGGTAATGGGTAACAAAACATAAAACTGTAGAGGGGAGTCTATGTAACCTTAAACTGTGTGGGTAATGGGTAACAAAACATAAAACTGTAGAGGGGAGTCTATGTAACCTTAAACTGTGTGGGTAATGGGTAGCAAAACATAAAACTGTAGAGGGGAGTCTATGTAACCTTAAACTGTGTGGGTAATGGGTAACCAAAACATAAAACTGTAGAGGGGGGAGTCTATGTAACCTTAAACTGTGTGGGTAATGGGTAACCAAAACATAAAACTGTAGAGGAGGGAGTCTATGTAACCTTAAACTGTGTGGGTAATCAAAACATAAAACTGTAGAGGGGGGAGTCTATGTAACCTTAAACTGTGTGGGTAATGGGTAACAAAACATAAAACTGTAGAGGGGAGTCTATGTAACCTTAAACTGTGTGGGTAATGGGTAACCAAAACATAAAACTGTAGAGGGGAGTCTATGTAACCTTAAACTGTGTGGGTAATGGGTAACAAAACATAAAACTGTAGAGGGGGAGTCTATGTAACCTTAAACTGTGTGGGTAATGGGTAACAAAAACATAAAACTGTAAAGTCTGTAAAGAGTCTATGTAACCTGTGTGTGTGGGTAATGGGTAACAAACAAAACATAAAACTGTAGAGGGGGGAGTCTATGTAACCTTAAACTGTGTGGGTAATGGGTAACCAAAACATAAAACTGTAGAGGGGGGAGTCTATGTAACCTTAAACTGTGTGGGTAATGGGTAACCAAAACATAAAACTGTAGAGGAGGGAGTCTATGTAACCTTAAACTGTGTGGGTAATGGGTAACCAAAACATAAAACTGTAGAGGGGGGAGTCTATGTAACCTTAAACTGTGTGGGTAATGGGTAACAAAACATAAAACTGTAGAGGGGGGAGTCTATGTAACCTTAAACTGTGTGGGTAATGGGTAACCAAAACATAAAACTGTAGAGGGGGGAGTCTATGTAACCTTAAACTGTGTGGGTAATGGGTAACCAAAACATAAAACTGTAGAGGAGGGAGTCTATGTAACCTTAAACTGTGTGGGTAATCAAAACATAAAACTGTAGAGGGGGGAGTCTATGTAACCTTAAACTGTGTGGGTAATGGGTAACCAAAACATAAAACTGTAGAGGGGGGAGTCTATGTAACCTTAAACTGTGTGGGTAATGGGTAACAAAACATAAAACTGTAGAGGGGGAGTCTATGTAACCTTAAACTGTGTGGGTAATGGGTAACAAAACATAAAACTGTAGAGGGGAGTCTATGTAACCTTAAACTGTGTGGGTAATGGGTAAAACAAAAACATAAAACTGTAGAGGGAGTCTATGTAACCTTAAACTGTGTGGGTAATGGGTAGCAAAACATAAAACTGTAGAGGGGGAGTCTATGTAACCTTAAACTGTGTGGGTAATGGGTAACAAAACATAAAACTGTAGAGGAGTCTATGTAACCTTAAACTGTGTGGGTAATGGGTAACCAAAACATAACACTGTAGAGGGGGAGTCTATGTAACCTTAAACTGTGTGGGTAATGGGTAACAAAACATAAAACTGTAGAGGGGGGAGTCTATGTAACCTTAAACTGTGTGGGTAATGGGTAACAAAACATAAAACTGTAGAGGAGGAGTCTATGTAACCTTAAACTGTGTGGGTAATGGGTAACAAAACATAAAACTGTAGAGGGGGAGTCTATGTAACCTTAAACTGTGTGGGTAATGGGTAACAAAACCAAAACATAAGTCTACTATGTAAACTGTGGGGTCTATGTAACCTTAAACTGTGTGTGGGTAATGGGTAATGGGTAACCAAAACATAAAACTGTAGAGGAGGAGTCTATGTAACCTTAAACTGTGTGGGTAATGGGTAACAAAACATAAAACTGTAGAGGAGGGTAATGGGTAACAAAACATAAAACTGTAGTCTATGTAACCTTAAACTGTGTGGGTAATGGGTAACAAAACATAAAACTGTAGAGTCTATGTAACCTTAAACTGTGTGGGTAATGGGTAACCAAAACATAAAACTGTAGAGGGGGAGTCTATGTAACCTTAAACTGTGTGGGTAATGGGTAACAAAACATAAAACTGTAGAGGGGGAGTCTATGTAACCTTAAACTGTGTGGGTAATGGGTAACAAAACATAAAACTGTAGAGTCTATGTAACCTTAAACTGTGTGGGTAATGGGTAACCAAAACATAAAACTGTAGAGGGGGAGTCTATGTAACCTTAAACTGTGTGGGTAATGGGTAACAAAACATAAAACTGTAGAGGAGGAGTCTATGTAACCTTAAACTGTGTGGGTAATGGGTAGCAAAACATAAAACTGTAGAGGGAGGGAGTCTATGTAACCTTAAACTGTGTGGGTAATGGGTAACCAAAACATAAAACTGTAGAGGGAGTCTATGTAACCTTAAACTGTGTGGGTAATGGGTAACAAAACATAAAACTGTAGAGGGGGAGTCTATGTAACCTTAAACTGTGTGGGTAATGGGTAGCAAAACATAAAACTGTAGAGGGAGGAGTCTATGTAACCTTAAACTGTGTGGGTAATGGGTAGCAAAACATAAAACTGTAGAGAGGAAGTCTATGTAACCTTAAACTGTGTGGGTAATGGGTAGCAAAACATAAAACTGTAGAGAGGGAGTCTATGTAACCTTAAACTGTGTGGGTAATGGGTAAAACATAAAACTGTAGTGGGGAGTCTATGTAACCTTAAACTGTGTGGGTAATGGGTAAAAACATAAAACTGTAGGGAGGAGTCTATGTAACCTTAAACTGTGTGGGTAATGGGTAACAAAACATAAAACTGTAGAGGGGAGTCTATGTAACCTTAAACTGTGTGGGTAATGGGTAACCAAAACATAAAACTGTACCTGAGTCTATGTAACCTTAAACTGTGTGGGTAATGGGTAACAAAACATAAAACTGTAGAGGAGGAAGTCTATGTAACCTTAAACTGTGTGGGTAATGGGTAGCAAAACATAAAACTGTAGAGGGAGAGTCTATGTAACCTTAAACTGTGTGGGTGTGGGTAGCAAAACATAACTGTACTGTAGAGGGGAGTCTATGTAACCTTAAACTGTGTGGGTATTTAGCTGGATTTCTTTTCAAAATATGAGATATTCCATTTTAGGGTGATGTTATTTGGCATCCAAGTTGTATGACTGTATGTGACTTTAGAAAATTAGGATTCCATTTACAATGTGTTATGAATTATGTGCAAACATGCTTTGTGCAAGTTTTTTTCATAATGTGCACATGAATTATGGTCATGGTAGAATTCAAACATGTCAGTGTGTTGCTGTACATGTCAGTGTGTTGCTGTACATGTCAGTGTGTTGCTGTACATGTCAGTGTGTTGCTGTACATGTCAATGTGTTGCTGTACATGTCAGTGTGTTGCTGTACATGTCAGTGTGTTGCTGTACATTTCAGTGATAAAAACCAGAGCAAAAGTTGTTCTGACATTATTTTAAACTCAGACTCAGACATTTTTTACATGAAGTGTCTGTGACATCAGGAACAGCTATGTGCAGTTGGCTCGACTGAAGTTGGAACAAGACAGAGCATTGTGGCACAAGCTCTTAACATTCCACCATCAGTAATTAGCAGATTACAGTCACGATATCACCAGACAAATAATGTTGATGATACGCATCAATCTGGTCAACATGGGGCAACCTAGCACACAAGACCCTTCATCATGACAAGTGTGTTACCAAACCGGGGTCCAAGGGCCTGTCCAATTGGAGATGAGTCTCACACATCTTCAGGTAGAGTGAGTGGACAGACAATTGGTAATCAGCTACACAGATGGAACTTTTGAGCATTTGGGTGCTGGAATATTAGAGTAAGTAGTTTTCTGATGAAATGTTTAGCTGACTTTCTTTTGTTTGTTGTATTGCAGTTGCAGAGTTTGCTCAGCAGATGGCAGCTGCACATGAGCACTTCTCCAAAGAGATTCAGTCTGTTATCGCCACATTCCGGAGGCGCAACTATGATCTCAACAAAGAAAGGTGAATTTTATGTTTGCTGTACAAGAAGTGAGGGTAATAAATGTTAAGGGGATATTTCTGTGAAATTGTGAGCTCATTCCTTACATAGAAAATATACCCCTAAATAGTAATGATTCCAAATTGGTTTGTTCAGTATGTACATTTACAATGTTATATAATATTTACAATGTAGATATATCTCTATGCATCAAGTCACTGCCTCACTTTAACATTATCTTGCCACAGCTTATTATTATTATTATTATTATTATATCAACTTATTTTCAATCAAAGCTATTCTTCATTAGGAAATGGATAGTATTACCATATAGTAAGTCTATCATATAGTGATGATTAATTACATGGATTCCAACTATCTCAGTAGCTCTTGACTCTGATTACCTAGCAAGCTCTTCACTCTGATAACTCACAACTAGATAGCTGAAACAATTATCTCTCTATATGGATGGAGGAATCTTAGGCAGAATAATGAAGTTTTCCCAAGGAAATGAAGTTTGAAGTAGATGTTGTGTTTCTAGGTAGTGTCACCATGTCCTCTGTGACCTTCATGTGAACAACACAAGCTTACCATACATTTGGAAAATATACATTTCTCCATTGTACCATGTCTATAATGTGTATTTTAAAACACTTTTCCTTCAGCACATATTCACTTAGGTGATGCAGCTGCAATGCCAAACTGCCAATTGTTAGGTGGGAGATTCCTTGAAACAAGATAACTGAACAATTTCTATGACATCAGGTCTTTTTAAAAATGACATCAAATGCACTTGTAGCACGCAATACCTTGGAAATTACATGTAATTCCAAATAATAAATGAATCCAGTTTAGCATAGTGAAACCAGAAGCAAGCCCAAGCCCCTGCATTCACAGAGAAACTACATGGTGTAGCTCAGACCCTGAGTTTACACTTCGGTTCCAAGAGTAGTCATTCATGACCACACCAGTTGTACAGTTTGAAATAGACGCTCCAGCCTTTTCTTTCTCTCTCTGTCCAACTTAGCCTTCTCCAACTCTTGCTCAAACTTTTTAGCTTCCCTTACATTCGCTCTCTCCTCTCTTTCTCGTTCCGCCTGCTCTTTAGCTAGCTGTATGTCAATCTGTTCTTTCACAAACAACTGTAAATCCTTTCCCATATAACCCAAACTTTCACCAAAATCTGCACTTTTCTGTAAATCCATGGTGACAAACCAGCCAGCAATCACAAGTAAAAACAAAACTCCCACTAAAATCTGACTTCCCATGTATCAATCCTTTACACTTCCTTAAAACAGGGCTCCCACAGGTCAGGGAAAAGTCAGGGAATTTTGATATGTTTTCAAAAGTCAGGGAATAGTCAGGGAATTTGGGGTTTAAGTCAGGGAAATTTAGGGGTTTGGTCAGGGAAAAATAAGACTCAGAATGTCGCTAATCAGGTATGGTAGTAGTCAAAGTCAAAGAAGCAGCACATGTTACAGACATTTCATGAAATAAATTACAGTTCAGATAAGAGATTGCTTTTAAGCATAACAGCATGTTTTACATAAAGCCCTAGATTACATATTACATTTTCATTTCTGGAGAATAGAATGGAAACAAAGTCACTTGAAGGATATTTTTACAGATACAGTGGAAACCGCCTAAGTAAAGACCGCTTAACTAAACAGACCTGATAAGTAAACACTTTTCTTTGGTCCCGGGCAAATTTCTTCATAAGTTATCACTATACAGTCCGGTTAACTAAACTCGGATAAGTAAACAATACCGCTTAACTAAACGTCTTCTCACTGTCCCTGGAAGTAAATTACTTAACAAACGATACTTGATAACTAAATTAGCGATCACCACATAATCCGACATGAGGGGTAGTCATGTCAGTCTCCAGTCAAACAAACATCCTACTTACAGCTCGCTGGCGTCAAGCAGTTGTCAATACACTGCCAACCCTGATAAGTGGTTCATTGTTACATATGCATACATATACATGCATATGGTTGTCATTTGCTGGTTTTTTATAAGTTTGGATAAGTAAAATACCTGATAAGTAAACAATTTTGGCGAGTCCCTTGAAATTTTACTTACCAGGTTTCCACTGTAATTATTTGGCATGTATTGTTTTCTTAAATCAGTATAATGTGAATTTTATCTTCTACAGCCGGGTGACATAACAGACATATTCTTCTATGAAGCACAATCTGTTGGATTTGTGAATCAAACAATATGAAACATATTTTCCGGGTTAAAATTCCAAAATTCTGGGAAACTGACATAAATTTGATAAGAGCCTTCTTAGCATGAATGCGGGGGGATATAGTCGACGCCTTGCCCGTCTGTCTGTCCGTCCATCCGTAATCATTTTGTTTCCGGAGCATAACTCGAAAACGGTTCTATGTTTTTAACAAAACTTTGCAGATATATCAAACAGAACCTAAAGTGGTGCCTTTTACTATTTACATATTTTTTTCATTTTTATTTTTCTTGGTTGCCATGGAAACGTTTTAGACTGTTCTTAAAAGGGAGTGGTGTGCTTTGTTTCCGGAGCACATCTCGAAAACCGTTTAATATCTTTCAACAAAACTTGGCAGATATATCAAACAGAACCTAAAGTGGTGCCTTTTGCTATTTACAGATTTTTGTCAAATCTATTTTTCTTGGTTTCCATGGAAACATGTTGGAATTTGTCTAAAAATATTAAGTTCAACTTTAAGTAACTGTCAGATGATTTGCTCTTTCATATTTGTATGGGCCGGGGGGATTTGTCATCTTCGGATGACTCTTGTTTATCATGGAAAAACACTAGTCTGAGATAGTGATTAACAATAGATAATTGTTTGCCATTCAAAATCATTTTTCTTCGTAGGCAACAGATCCACCTCTTCTAAAGATAACTAAGTTAACAGATAATGTTCCATTCATTTGTATACTGTTTCAAAATATTATAAATAGTATGATGGATATGGTGGTTTCTTGCAAATTGTGAAAGCCCATATTGGCCAAAAATACCCATATGTTTCATTGTTAATGTACAGCATAAGTTTATATAATATGCCCTATGTTCTGACATTTACTGTTTATTCACAAAATTGAAAGTGGTTTAATGATGTTCATAATCTAGTTGTCATGGTTGTACTGAATGTAAAGTTATATCTTGCATCTTTATTCTTTCCAAATACGCCTTTGATAATTACAACATTTTGTGATAATGAAGAAATGTGTTCCTGACTTTGAATGAAACAATTCAATTAAATCATTAGTTTCACATTTATGCTCTTTGTCAAAAGCCTTTAATATAAAATACAAAGTTTTCAGATGATATATACTGACTTCACATGAGAATATATATTTGATGGTCACGGTCAAATGTATCTAATAGTATTATGTAACATTGTGGCAGGAGAGTCAAGGAAAATTTCTTCATCACAAATATCAATGTTTTGGTTAATGTAATAAATTAACAAATATTGTGTGTATTTATGATATGTGTGAAGGAAATATCTTAACAGGGTGGTTAGGACTGACTGAAAGGGAGGAAGAAGGCCAGGTTTTACACTTAAATGGTCAGGGAAAAATCTATACTTGTCAGGGAAAAGTCAGTGAATTTTGGCCTGCCATGCCTGTGGGAACCCTGTAAAAAGGATACACTACTGCTCACTTCCCTGCTGAGTTAACACAGGGGCTCGTACACCTTCGAGCATACCGACGGCCAAAACATGGTTAAAGGCTGAGAAAGGCTAAATAGGTCTCAAGTCCACCATACTATCACCTACGGCCAAAACATGGTTAAAGGCTGAGAAAGGCTAAATAGGTCTCAAGTCCACCATACTATCACCAACGGCCAAAACATGGTTAAAGGCTGAGAAAGGCTAAATAGGTCTCAAGTCCACCATACTATCACCGACGGCCAAAACATGGTTAAAGGCTGAGAAAGGCTAAATAGGTCTCAAGTCCACCATACTATCACAATTTTTACTCCAGATGTGACGGAAAATTTTACATCCCACCGCTGCCACCAAAATGTCACATACTAGAGTAAACACAAAACCAGATTTAAAAGTTAATATAATTTATTAACTAAATTTACCCTATTTACAATAGTTAATATAGGCTTGCATCACAACTTCATTCTCTCATTACCAAACACCCTCACACTCTTTCCCCTACACACCCAAACAAGCACATCATACTTCACCATTCACATATACTCACATACACTCACATCAATACTCAAAATATCACAACACCACAATTGTCTTTTTAAAGAAACACACAACAATTCATATGATTATGTCATGTACATGGAAGATGGAATAAGTAAACAATTCATTAAAAGCACAAATCAGTTGCATGCTGTATAAATCACAGACGATGTTATTGTCACCACATGTGGGGTTTCCAGACAGTTCAGGTCTTTGGTGGTAGGTTAAGGGTCCTTCCCCTGCATGTAAGTCTCTACACACTTTGGCGGCATGTCCATATGATTCCTGTTGATCAGTTGGTACAGCCTTACTGACGGGGCACGTCACTCTCCCCAGATACACAGATGTTACTTCACATCCACGGACGGCATGTCAGGGTCGATCCCTAACGATCGGCGGGACAGCCTTACAGGGTGTAACACCTACCCCGGACACTGGATACAAAAAGCACACCATGTACTTGGTGACTTTACATGTACACTATCTATATTTATATATATATATATATATTTCACACACAGGATATGTTTACAGGGCTGTTTTACAGTCACTTGATACACAACACTACCACTATACATTACACGTGACCTGCTGAATGAGTATCATCATTACGCCAGTATACTAACTTAGAGACATTCTCAAAATGTCACATACTGATCACAATTCCATCATATTACTAACCACAGCAATAATATTACCTATATTTCACCTTAGTTATAGTTACATGCTTTAATGTGAAATATATACAATTCATAGTCATATTCTGACTGAAACATAACATAACATTATCATACTCACACCAGTTGAATATTCAGGAAAACCAGCCAACCTGACACGCACATACACTTTCAAATCAGTCTTTATATATACCCCCCAAGCTACTTGATTGACCCCAAGCTTACTACCCAGATACATACAATGGCTCTCATACTGCACACCCCAACACAGACACTCGCTCACCGCTTACATCTCTGCTTCAGCTAGCCTCTTTTCACTCCCAATTTCTCACACCTCAGACATAGAATAAAACATATTACACTAATTGTGATCTTGACAGATACATCAAGCATGGATACTGATGTTGTGGAGATACCAGACAGCACAATAACAGTACTACTAGTATTTGGGCCATACTTTCAATATTCAGCAGGAGAGAATGGTACACACATTTTTGAGCAGCTGATGAATCTGAGGTACATAATGACAAACTTGGTTGATTTGTTTGGCCAGTGATCTTTACTGGAAAATGGGCAAACTTGAAGAATGTGTATCTATGGTTACAGTCATCCTCATCATGTACCTACATGACTTGGGTTCATTATGAAATCCGGAAACATGTACATAAGTGATGTATGTTTTCTACCACAGGCCAGTAGAACAACCTAGCACAATCTTTAAGGCTTGGGAATGTCTCCTGCAAGAATCAGAAATGGATGCACAAGTAAGTTGTTCAGGAAAGGAAAATGAGCTGGTTATTGTCTTGTCCACCGGTATTGTTATAAAAGTAAGACTGTACAATATTCCAGCAAGCAGGTGGCCTTCTCACTATCACAAGTGTACATGAGTCTGTGATGTCTGCACAGGATTGGATCAAAACTAAAAATCAAGTCTCTTGTTATGGAAAATGGTAATTTACTTCATATCAAAAAATGTTTTTGCAATTTATTCTCATGTACACCTATATGATGAACAAATGTCAGACACTTAGACAGGTCATAGCAGAACTACCTAATTACTTTTCACACCAATTCCTATGTTTAACTGTGCAATGTATGTGTTATGATCAGTTCAGTGTACTTCACATACAGACAGCAGGCACCCTAGTTTGTCTCTCATTATTGTATGTTGTGTTACAGGCTCACCTTGATGCAGCCAGCCTGTTGATCAAGAATGTATACAAGCCATTAGAGATGGTTTCATCCTACAAGAGTAGCCAGGCACAAAAGCTCTGTTCATTCAGGGATAATTTTGAAAACGTCCTAAGCAAGTCAGAAAATAACCTACAACAGGTAACATTAAAAGATTTTATTGTGTGTCACTCATCTCCCTATTGTCTGTTGACTAAAACTTTAAGTGCTATTGCTCAAATATATATACTGTTCCAAAATAGAAACGCATAACGCAGAAATGTTGTATTTTCAAACATGTATAACTCGTCCACAAATAGATTTTAAGAAATGAATTTTTACATCAGTTGAGAAGGTAATGTCTATACAACCAAGTGAATAATTTTAGATAACGGAGACGTTGAGCGCGATGGTGACCACGTAGCATGGTCCCGACATCGGGTCTCCTGGCTCTCAGTCCAGTCTCTCTTAACCTGTTCCGTACAGTTTGACCAGATATCCTCTGAAGTTCAGGCACCTTGGCTGCTGTGCTCTCACCCGTGGCAGTACGATCACACAAATGTAGTACCTACAGTCGGTTTGAGTCAGAAACGGACCGATGAATTGCAAATTTTATCATTGTACAAAATTGCCACTTAAATATAAATAGGACACATGTTTATCATTTACTAATACCCAACAGCTTTCTTATATTTGAACATTTTCCGGACTCCACCAAAAAAGTTGTTTAAGAAACTTTTATCATTGAAAACGCAAAAGTTGTTATCTGTCGCGGCGGGGTGAAACCGCAGAAACGGAACAGCCACTAACTCGTCGTGCACGGGATACACATGCCTGATGAAAAATGAAGTTGAATGCTGACGTGAAACAGTTGATGATTAGAGTGTACGATTTTTTCCATGCTGAAGCCGAAAGGGGCAAACCATTTTATGCCATTAATAAATTCCGTGAGCGGGCAGCAAAAGCTGTAGGAGTATCAGCAAGGGTACTGACAAATGTTCTGGAACACAAACATTGTGAGGGTGATGCGAAGCAGGTAGGGGTCGTGTCAAAATCACACAAATTAAAACATTTGGACAACTTTCAAAAAGAACCTTGTAAGGCAGTCTATCAACAAGCTCTTTTCTGAAAACAAATACATGTCGCTGAATTTTTTTTTAAAAGCATTTGAAGCAAGAACACAACCTCAGAGTATCAAAGTACACACTCTGGCGACTCTTACACTCTTTCGGGTATCATTATAAGAAAATTTCGGGGAAGAATAGGTCAGTACTCTGTGTACGCCCTGATATCTTTCACTTGAGAAATAATTTTCTCAGGGTTATAAAGAAGAAGCGCGAGGAAGGGTTTGAGCCAGTGTACTTGGACGATACCTGGGTCAATGCCTCGCACACTGCCAGCAGTCAGTGGGTACCCTATGGGGGTGATAAGGGGTCACGTAGAAAGCTGCCTCTAGGGAAAGGAGAGAGAGTAATCATTCTCCATGCTGGTTGCTCCAGCAAAGGCTTTCTCCCAGGCTGCGACTTGGTATTCAGGGCAAAGTCTACAGATAACAGAGACTACCATTCCGAGATGAATGGTGCGGTTTTCCTCGATTGGGTTAAAAATAAGTTGGTACCAGCTCTACCAGAGAAGTCTTTTATCGTAATGGACAATGCCCCATACCACAGCGTGAAGGACCCCGACATCGAACAGTCGAATATGTGATATGATATCATGGCTCGACAAATTTCAGATCGCACAGCCTTCAAAGGCAACGAAGCCTCAGCTATAGGAGATCATAAAAACCCACAAAGGTGAACCTTTCTACAAAGTTGACAGTTACATAAAAAGTATGGGTCATGATATTCTGCAACTTCCACCCTATCACTGTCACCTTAACCCCATTGAAATGATATGGGGTATTGTCAAAGGAGATGTTGCCAGATCAAACACAACTTTTAGATTACATGACGTAGAGGTTTTGGTTAAGGATGTTCAGAGCTTTCGAACGATGCCTGACATCAAACGATTTGCCTCTCATGTTATTCATACGAAGCTTCGAAAACGGAGGTATTTTCCATTGTTATGTCATGTTACCGAGCGGAAAGCCATAGATATCGGGAAATAGGCGACCATACATATTATTTAAAAAATCTTTTTATAATAATTTTCCTATGACGTAAAAATGAAAATATAAAAGAAAAAGGCACGGGCATGTTATGACATGTCACAATTGGGAAAAATCGCCATAGTTTTTGCCTCTTTTGTGGTTTATCTGGACGTTATAAATGTAAGCTTGCATTTTCATTCAAAAATAAATTTATTTAAGTTGTAGTTGTTTTATTTGAATAATATTATAAAAATAAACTTCATATTTATCAACAGTAGGATTAGATCTTTTAAATGGTGTATGGGATGTAGTAGCAATAACGTTTTACAAGCTTATAATTTCCTTCATAAACATAGGCTTCATCTATGACCTCAGAGTCTGTGGGAACTCGGTGTCATGGCAGTAAATGCCTCTGGTTGACTGGTGTTGAAAGAGTTAAACAAATTTTTTGGTGGAGTCCGGAAAATTTTCAAATATAAGAAAGCTGTTGGGTATTAGTAAATGATAAACATGTTTACTATTTATATCTATGTGGCAATTTTGTACAATGATAAAATTTGCAATTCATCGGTCCGTTTCTGACTCAAACAGACTGTAGATGTACCGATCTTGGGCTGCAGTGGTGACTCGAGGTCTGCCTGTACGGGGAAGGTCATTTGTTATACAGTCATCCCTTGCAATAACACTCTTCGCGATACCGTGGATTCGGTTAAACCGCGGGGTAATCTGTGGCTCCCATAAAAAAAGTTGCCCAGGGATCACACGTCTTCAAGTCATCGAAATTCGCTGTTGAGCTCTGGTTAATCACGTTGTAAACTAGTGAAATTCAGTGCAGATTGCAATTAACAGTGTCTATTGTACTTATCCATGGTTTTTCAGATGCTTAAAACATGCAGAGTTTTCTCAATAGTAATCAGACGAACAGCAAAACATCGTAGTAACTTATAACAGACAACTTTATCATAAAGACATGCCATAAGCCGAAAGTACTTACAATGTTTGCTGTGAAGCAACACACCGCGTTATTACGCGGGTAATCACTGCCATCCGTGAACATATGATGTCAGAAAACACATGTTATTTTATTAAATTCAATTCCATTCATTAAAACTGTTTACAGTAACAACAGAAAAACCGTGAGTGAAATGGCATTACCTCATTCCATACAACTTCCGCTTACCACATTCGTGAGGGTCCTTTTTTCGCGCCTACCGCGATAGCAACCTTTTCACATTATTCTCAGCAATCACGAACAGATTACAGCCTTGTCATCCATGGACCCCAAGACCCGCGTTATTCACTCATTGAAGTCATATTTGACAATTAATTGCCAACATTTTGTTTTTACAATCAAAGTGGCATGTACTGCGGCAAGTCAGCAGTGACTTGTCAAACTTTCTCCTACGTAAAATGTATCCAGCCAGGTAACCCAAAGTGCTTAGCCTATGTTAATTATTATGTTAAATATGTTCGTAGAAAACATGCATTATACTAATACAATAGCAATATATAATATCTCTGTTAAAATAACTGCTCAAGATGCAAATTATTCTGATAATGGAATAGAAATTCTTTTATATCATGCTATCGGATCGTTTTTAACTGAATCACCGGTACATTGGACCAAAACATCTGTGCACAGCTAATTGCTATTTCCGGCTTAGTTGAATAACAATTGTATTATCATGTTTTGTGATGTTTGATTGCAAGTTTCCTGTACATACATCTATTTTCATTTACAAAGTTTGTTTTTTCACCTCCAATGATACGATATAGCTTTGACTCAGCATAATACACGAAATAGCAGTTTTGTTTTGTCCATGGAAAATACAATTTTACTTAGCCTTTGTTCAGCGTAATGTAACAGTTACTATAACGTGGGTATCTAATATCGGGTCATCCATGGACCCCAAGACCCTCGTTATAGCAAGGGATGACTGTACCTGTTTGGTTGTAACGAGCTGCAAGCAGTGATATCGTGCTCAGACTAACATTCAGACACCTGGCAATAGAAAATTGGTAATCTCCAGCGTGCATTCATTCAATGGCGATGTTCCGTGTCACAGCGTCAAGACTTGGCGTAGTGATTTGACCTTGAAACTCCTTCAAAACGGATGCCGAGTTCCGAAAGTAATCTGGATTTTTATAGCCAGACAGTGCATGCTCTTTGCTGCACAATTTCAACTGGAAGGTGACTTCTGTTGTGTTGTGGCGATGCCTTTTTAATTCTTTTAAGAAATCTCATCAAAATGAGAAAGTCGACTTTTCACTTGTGCAATTGTGTAAAATCATGTTATCAACACTTTTTTTTTACATATTTTGATGATTGTTTGAACACAGTAGGTAATTAATAGATTTTTAGAAATACAAATTTGTTTTGCAATACATCAGTTCATGTGTAAACAGTACCTTTAAACAGTATTGAATATTTTGCAAAATCTAGTTGAGAACAGTTGACTGAAGTAAGTGGCTACATTTACACTGTGAGTCTAAACTTTTGATGGGTAGTATATGATATCATCTGCTCATTGTAGGGCAAATTTACTGAAAGTTACATCCATCGTAAATCTCGCCAGTTTTGCCACATCACTGAATCACCATTCATTGCGTTTTGCATTATTCATACTATTTCTTACTTTAAATATCGAATTTTACTGGGAGTTTTTTTTAAAAAACATATCATTGTGATCGCCGGTATCTGTTGTTGTTTGATGGAATCACAAATGCTCAGTCTGAAACATTATTGATGAACCGAGAATCGCTGAGAATGCTTTGAAAAACACGAACATCGAAGTGAACTTTTATAAATTCACGTCACACGTATGTCGGTTATGCTTTGCCCATTACATCACAACTATAATTCACACAAATCTTTGAATTCCTCATACACTCCAACATAAAATGACAAATGGTCTTTGTCACCAATACCAAGACGTCTCGCTGAAATCTTGCTAAATATATCGGATGCTGCTCTGGGAAAGAACCACTTGTTTGAAATGTAAACAAAGCCCATCTCAGATTTTACACTGTGTATCATTTTCTCATACTGTAAGATCCGTTTGCCTACTCG